CAAGATCAGTGACTCCTGCAGAAAGAGCACAAGGAGCGGGGCAGAGCCTCTGAGGGAGAGTAGCTCTTACTGTTTCACTGAAAATTGGTGTAACAGCAAAGCGTCCCTTTAGTTTCCACATAACAAGTGTGCTCATTCTATGAGAAATTTCGGAAACCTTGCCCATGACATTACTCTGGCCTGGAATAAAATGATGCTTTCAAGAAAAGTATGATACAGAGGACATTTTAGGGTGAATATGATTACAGCTTATTGTGAGCAGGAGGTAATTTCCTCTTATAAATCTGCCAATTTCTCTCCCCCCCCCCCCGCTTTGGCCCTGAAATGTGCACTGTTTGGTTGTCATAGGAATACAGGAAGCAGCCTTATACTATCTCTGCCAATATTGTCTGCCTCTGCACTGACTTTTCAGGGCCTATGATGGGGTTGTTCCAAACCCTCCTTGGAGATTCCAGAGATCAGACTTACAACCTTTTGCATGCAAAGCTTGTGCTGAAATACTGAGCGAAAGGGAGATTCAGGGCTAGTGTATACACTCAGCAGAATTAAGTGGTACAAAGCAATTCGCTTGGATGGTGCGACACTTAAGAATGCAGTTGGCAGGAAGCCGGGCACCCGTAGCCACTAGAGGACAGTGTTGCCTTAAAAGGAAATCAAGAAGGTATATTCTACCTCAGGGGGTCAGCAAACATTTTCAGCAGGGGGCCGGGCCACTGTCCCTCAGACCTTGGGGGGAGCCAGACTATACTTTGAAGAAAAAAATGAATGAATTCCTATGCCCCACAAATAACCCAGAGATACATTTTAAATAAAAGGATACGTTCTACTCCAGTAAAAACACGCTGATTCCCGGACCGTCCACAGGCTGGATTGAGAAGGCGGTTGGGCCGAATCCAGCCCCCGGGTCTTAGTTTGCCTACCCTTGCTCTACCTAGTCAAAACTTTAGTCCACCTAACTCAACATTTTCTAAGTTGATAGACAGCAATTCTCCAAAGTTTCTGACAGGGCCTTCCCAGCCCCATCAGGCGATGCCAAAAAACAAACAGGACCTTTTGGATGCAAAGCCGGTGGCCGACCTCTGAGCCCTTTCCCTTCATGCCCTACTGCTCCTGATGTTCATTTCTAGATGGGGAAAACAGCTCAAACAACCACTTGAGCACAAAAAGATATTGAAGGTGCAGACACTATGGCAGCATTTCCGTGGCACCTGAGATACAGAGGCAAAATGGCGGAAAAGGCACTGGGTTACCTCCAAATCAGTTTTATCCAGAGTAAACCCATTGAAATTGGCTGAGGTTAGCCATGCCATTTATTTCAATGGGTCTGTTCTGAGTAGACTAACCCTAGATACAACCCACTGTTTGTATGCAAGAGCATTTAAGTGCCCTGGGTTTAATTATCTGCACCCTTCCTTCAGCCACTCACTTTGTTGTGTGTGAAAGAGGTCTTGATTACAAAGGGGCTGAGGAAAAAAAGAACATCAGTTACCTCTCTGAGATGCAGGAGAAAGAGTTGATTCCTGCCCATTAGTTTTTAATTTGGCTGTGCATTGCTTTTTCACGCTCATGAGTTGCCTCAGGTGCTTTCGTTAAGGTAAGGGGAAAGCGTTAATGTAAATAATCGAAGTAAAAGAAAAACATATCACATACAGAAAAAGCTCCAAAAACTTAAAACTCCTGTCTTTAAGAGATCCTTTCTATCTCTTGTAACGGACCCTATAGGTGTGCAGAGGATTCTAGCCTGTGTTGTAGTGGGGACCCTCAAGTGATGTGGGGAATTGACTAGGACCTGCTCAGCCTTTCCTTCTACCATCAAAGAGCATAAGGTCATAAGAAGAGCTCTGATGGAACAGGCTGATGGACTCCATAATCGAACACTCTGTCCACACAGTGGCCAAGCAGATGCATGTGGGAAATCCGCGAAGGGGAGAGTGGCCTGGGATAGGCACAGACTTCAGACTCGTGTGGTCTATTTTTTACTAGAAATGTGTCATCCACAACTGAAACCAGGTACAAAATGATGGCTCAAGGTGGATCCAGCTACCTGCTGCACTGCACCCAGTGATACATTGAGATGACTTACATAAAGAATTGCAAATCTACATGAGTTACTGCAGATCACACATTTCAGGGTTCAGAAGTGCTGGAATGGGGTAGGGGGAGAATTCTTTGCGTTTTCGTTAAACCACTGGGATTCATACAATCTTACCCATCCAATGAAATTCTTTCAGCAAATTACTAATAAATCTTCCCAGTTCTACTGCTGTCCTAGAATGCACCCAGCATAATCTTGCATCTGTGCTTGGCAGAAGGAAAATCAGACTCTCTTTCAGGGGGGTCAGTCCTTCTGGCTGTTCTTCCGACCAGTTAGGAATGCCCAGGTGCCCTGGAAGATAGCTTGAAAGCCACTGTTCTACCATCCAAGCAGGGGAATTCTTTGCAAAAGTGGTACTGATGTTGAGGAACACCTCTGTCTACAACAGATGTAAAATGAAGGCACGAAAGACAGAGCTTAGTTCCTTGCAAACGCCTCTAACCCATCCAAACCAACGTTATTCTGTCTCTGAATAATTGAATAGTGCAGCACCGTGCATATCTACTCAGAATGAACTCCAACTGAATTCAATGGGACCTACTGCCAGGAATGAGTGTACAGAAGTGCTCCCAGAAAAGGTGTGGGTTAGAGGAAAAAAGCTTTACTTTTTTAAAAATGGAACCAGTTCTCACACTGCCGATCTACTTCTCTAGTAGACCCACTCAGAATCTTAGATTTCCTCTGCACCATCTAGATGCATGCTCCAGGTTTGCAAGATAAGACCATCAGTAAAAGAATTAAACCAGTAATTCCCAACCTATGCTCTATGAGAAATAAATAACTGAAAAGTGTGTGTAACTTATACACAAATGAAACTCCCTGCAACTATTCTGCCTTCACCTCTTCTGACAGGTAATTATGCTGTGTCTCTGCATTGCGTGCAACTGAACAATCCAATCACTATATAGTGAAATTGCTCTCAGAGGGTGCCTGTTGTGTTTCTGTATGAGTCACTGCTCAGAGCTCACCCCTCATTTTCAAGTTAAGTACCTCAGTGATTCATACAGAAAGGCAGGCAGCTCTTTTAGATACATACTCTGAATGCAAACATTTTAGGTGTAAGAAGGAAAGGTGCTCACCATTTAGCTGGGTTGGGGGAAGTGTGTCACAACTATGTAAATTTTGGAGGAAATGCAGAAACGTTTTCTTTAAAGCAGGAAATTCAAGGTAAGGGCATCCAATTTGCCAGAGTGGGTAGGCATTCATAACATCCTGCCCTCCACCCCTGTCACTACTCCACAGACAAAGATCCATTCACCAAGCACCTCAGTCCACTAATCTACGCTGTTATTTCTCACCTACCTTTGCTTCTCTAAATACAAATTCTTTGTTCGAGACTAGTGGGAAGAAAAGAGTTCCAGGCAGAGGTTGCTTTTGACATTATGTCTGCAGGGAGGTGAAAATAAACAACTTGCATCTGGTGAGCCAATGCATAAACCGCCAGGAGTTCTTGGAAATGCACAAGTGGGAATTATTTGCTCTGCTGCAAAGGCAGTGATTTTATGCTAGAAGTGCAGCTCTCAGGCTACCAGGAAAGCCAACTGCCTGGCACAGTAGCCAGAACCGCACACCGTGCCTAATGAAGAGGCTGCTCGTTAAGAGCTGAAAGAGTAATTAGCAGTTCAATTTTCTTCCAAAGCTAAAAGTTAATCTCATCATTTGCATGGCGGATTCCCTCTCTCCCCCTGGTTTGTTTTTGCAAGAGAAATTACAGCAATAGCTTAAAGCTGCTTTCTCCTGCTGTTTCCGTGGCTGTGAAATTCTCCATCCAGAAGGCACCAGACCAATCTGACAGAAGTTCTCAAACTACCTAAAAAAAAAGTCTGGGTGTACCTCAATTATCTTGGCCAAAAGTGAGAAAAGGGGCTGGGAAATGGGTTTGGTACAAGGAGCCTGTTCTTTGCTTGGGGAACTTGCTCTACCCTGCGACGGAAAGAGGGCTAGAACCTCCTTACCCTTGCCCTCAAAACAAATTGTGCAGCTTGGATGAGTCTGGCCTCAGTGTGTTCTCAAGGATCAACATGGAACCTAGATGCTACTTCCATGTCTAGAGGCAGAAGGGAGCTGTTTGGCATGGAGCCAGCAAGTGTCCCCTGAGAGAGATCAGGAGGCAGACGAAGGCACCATCTAGACATCAGTTTTTGAGCCACAGAGGGAGTTGCTCCTTCTGGTGCCACCATCAGAGACACCAACCATTTATTATCTGTGGAAGGATATAGTGTTTTGTTAATAAGGATTTTCAAGTTTTGTGCCCATCACCCTCCTGTTGAGGGTACAACTCAAAACTACAGTTAGCCACTCTGCCTTGGGCTAAGTAGGGCCTGAATGCCAGGACTCGGCAGATGGGAAGTCATGAAAACAAATGCCTCTCCCATCATCCCTGACCAGCCTCAGCCAGCCCTGCCAGAGGTATGGCCCCTGGCCCCTTAAAAAGAACAATTTAAAGCAGCATAAACTAATGTATGAAATTCAACATGCATGGCTGCTTTTTTTGCAAGGAAAGAACATTGGGCAGATGGTAGGAGGATGCAGAAGCCCAGATAATTGGTCATGGGAGAAAAATCAGGTACTGTCTGAAGTATCACCGCCTGCCCAGCTCTCCTCTGGCCTGTGAATAGTTATTTTCTGGAACCACAAGGGCTGGATACTCAATATAAAAAGAAGAGAACCCGGCAGTTTGCCACATGGAATTCCGCACTTGTGCATTGAACTGGCAGACTCTCTCTTGCCAAAGGGCAGGTTTGAAGATTATATCACCCACTTCCAGGTGCTATCTATCTAACATATTTGCATCCTAGCCACCCTCAAAGCAGCTCAGGGTGGTTTTGCATTAGGCCATCCCATTTTATCCCCACAGTATTTTGTACAGTTCTCATGCATGAAAGAAACACACAGAAGGGGAAGAGAGTGTTTAGGGTCCTTTATTGTACAGAGTTTTACCTGGGTATAAATCTCTTTCTGAGACATCTTTATCTATGATTTTGGCTTTTACAAAAATCACAAGCAACGTGTTGGCAACTGAGAAAATAACTGAGAAGTGCCAAGTGAGCAGTTGGCAAGGGAGTTTGCACTTTAGCAATGCAAAAAGAAATCTGCCGGGACACATTAAGCAGAAGGTCAAGCCTTCAGGGGAAAAGCCTCCCCCCCCCCAGGAAAAAAAAAAACAGAGAGTCTGGAATCTTGGCTGACGGTCTCACCATCTAGTGGCAAAGAAGGGAGCTGCACTTGGCATGGATGTCATGAAATGCAGGAATTTTGGCTGCTGTGGAACCCAATTCTCTTCCCTAGGTATTGTTTTCTGCTTTGGCGATTACAGGTTGCACATGCAAACTACAGAAGGGCAATTTAGGAGCAAGAAGCTCTATTCAGACTTCTTGGCAACCAACTCCTCTAACTTCTTGGCGGGGTGGTTGAGTGGGGGAAGAGGAGAGAACTCAGGCAGAGGGTAGTGGGGGCTGCTGCAGAGCTGCCTGGCACAGACAGTCTGACTTCGGTGTTTGTGGCTCACCCTCTAGTGGCTATAAGAGGCAGCTGTTTCAATGCAATCAAACCAAACCCTTTCCAAGAATCCACCTAGCTTAAGCATCTGGAGTTACACTGGTGTGATGGAGAAGGACAATTTCATTTTCCTTTGCAACACAATGTCCTCCGGACAAAGTGGTCCTTCCTTCTGTGGAAGGAAATGCCACCAGCCACCAGTGGGATCACCAACAAAATCAATACCCCTGGCTCTCACAACACGCAAGCGGTCGAGATCGTCAGGAAGTCTTCGTAGTTGAGTCGTACGTTGCCCGTCATGCCAGTATCCTTTTCCCGGAAGGCTTCGGTCAGGGACTGCAGCAAGGTGCAGATTTGGATGAAGCGGTCCAGCTGGATACCAGGATTGGCAGCCTTCGGTGAGTAACGGGAGAGCAGCAGCTGGGAAAACTGGGGGCTCAGGCTGTAGCCCATTTGGGAGAGTGCTAGGAGAACAGAGGGCAGGGAAAGAGAATGGATGGAAGTCACAAATGATTCACAGCTGTTATCATAGTCTTATTATGAATGTTGTCTTAGGAGTGATCTTTGTAAGCTACTCTGGGAATCTTTCCCACTGAAGAGGAGGGTAAAATGCTATAACAGTAATAATAGTTATTATTATTATTATCATCACCAACTGCCCAAGTGCTAAACTTTTTACTTCTTACCCAAATACTAACATAACACTGAGACAAGATGGCCTTTCTTGAGTCACTCAGAGCTGAGCGTTCAAGCACCCAAGAACCATGCCAGTATTTCTACATGGCTATGTTTTTCAGCGGTCCCTGATGATGCATTTTTTTTTTGCACTCCTCTTTTGGCACATCATCTAACCAGTGCTAACTCTGTGTCTGCTCAGCCTCTTCTTAGACCACTTCTTTCTCCATTTCCAAGCCTAGCCCCAAGGCACTCCAGATAACTGCACTAGGGACTTGTATTTAGGGTCTCATGAACCTACGGAGACTGCCAGAAAAAGCTGCATTACTCAGAGTCCATCAAGCTCAGTGTTGTCTGCAATGACTGATGCCAGCTCTCCAGGGCTTCAGATGGGGACTTGTTCAACCCTACTTGGAAGATGTCAGGGGCTGAACTGGGAACCTCTCACATGAGGCGTATGCAGCCTCCCACTGTGCTATGGCTCCACTCTCGAGGAACCACGTAAGTCCAATGAGCCATTGCTCTGCTGTCAGAGCTTCCTGAAGAAATCAGCTCATCTGCTCTCCAGGCACAGCAAGAGGCATATTTGCCTGATGCAAAAACATCACATTTATCAGTTTACTAGGTTTTAGGTTCGGCCATTGCCAGCTGATGGGAGTTGTAGTCCAAAACATCTGGAAGGCACCAGGTTGGCAAAGGCTGCTTTAGCTTGTTCCGGTCATAATGCATTGATTCAATCTCATCACAGTTATTGGGGATCTGGATTGTGTCAGCAATTCAACAGAAGGCTGGATGATTCAGCCTAGCAGCAGAGGGACACAAGAGATTACCTGATTGAGGGAACTCTCACTAACCATGGCGGAAACCTCAGTCTGTTCTTCACAATTGTTTTGGAAAGGCCTCTGAGCCCGAAAGCAACAATCTGAACAGACCTCTGCCTAAAAACAGCCACTCTCCAGCAGCGTTACAGATCATGAACAGCCTCTTGAGGCTTTAAGGACTGTTGCCTTGTTCTGTCTCACCTTGGTGAAGCTCATTACAATTAATGCATCCTGACTGGTCGCGGTCGTACTGCTGGAAGAGATTCCGCCACTGCTGGATGAAACGCCACAGGGCCGAGAACCCATAGAGATCAATTCGCCCAGATTTGGTTTTATCAAACATGTCTGCAGAGGCAGTAAAAAAAAGAGTGGAGCACTGAGCAGTGGTCCCATATACTTGCTGACTCAAAACCAGAGACAGAATACCCGCCTTGCAACACAGCCCCAAGAACTGAAGGCGACACAAGAGAGGCAGCTAATCCTACTTTTGCCTCTGCTCCACCAGGTTTGTACAGTGTTTCAAAACCCAGCAAAATCTGTTTGACCAGAGGAAAGCTTGAGACCAAACAATGTGTGTAAAGCAGAGTATCTATCACATTGCTTTCAGCCCTCTAAGAACTATTGTCTGTCTCCAGTGTAACATGCAATTCTTCACAATACCTTCTGCATGCCACATGCCAACAGCAAGGACAAGCATGGGGTTGTTCTTAGGGTTGTGCTGCCACTAGGACACTAATGCTTTCCACAAACAAGGTTGAAGGATCTTTTGAAGACTACAGAAGATATTAAACTCAATTACTGTTTCAGCAGGATGGTCTGGAAACAAGTACACTCTCTCTAATATTTACTATGTGGACTACTCCCATTTTAATTACTGTGGTGTAGTCTATGTTGAACTACCCTTGAAGACAGTCCTGGAGCTGCAGCTGATGCAAAATGCAGCTGCCAGGTTGTTGAAAGGGACAGCAAGATGGGACCATGAATCACTAGTCCTAAAAGCTTTCTACTGGCTGCCTGTGAGCCACCAGATGCAGTGCTGGTACTGGCATACAAAGCCCTAAATAGCTCAGGGGCTAAGGACTTTAAAATACCTGCCTCCTCCAATGCTAATCAGTTTGAGCCTTAAGGCTAGCAAGGGAAACCTGGCAGGTGGTCCTGCTGGCAAATGTGGCCTGGGGGTAATGGTGGCAGCCTGCAGCAGGACCTCCTCTGTGGCAGCACCTTGATTATGGAACTCCCTTCTTGGTGAAGAGCAGCTGTTCCCCACATTGCCAACATGCCGATGAAATCTATAGGCACTTTTGTTCACCCAGGGGGTTAGTATTTGACGGGTGATACATTTAGCAGATGGAATTGTGAAATTTTAAAAATATATCCCTTAATTGTTTTAGTCTTTGTTGGGTCTTAATTATGTCTTATTGCAAATGCTGTATGGTTGTCCTGAGCTCCTTTGGGAGCAACGGCAGGACAAAAATTGAAATAATAATAATGAGGGATAATGATGATGAGGGAGATGAAACGTGCATCACACATTTCTGAGGAAGGCAAGCATGGGAGTCCATGAACTTCAAGCACAACTGAAGAACATCAAACAGCCTTGGCATTTATACTGTTCATTTCAAGTGTTCAATGCACTCTGCATAATCAGAGTTTGTCAGCCTTCTGGGGCCTGTGAGCAGAGTTGCAAATCAGAGAAAATGTTGTGGGCAGTTTCCCTGCGCAATGAAGCACACACACACACCAAAACCTGTTCCATTGATCACAACAGAATGCTTCTTTTGAGCCTAATTTCAGCAGGGGGGAGGAACAGGGAAGGGAAACCTGTGAGTGCCAGGTACATGCATGCCAGTGGGTACTAAAATGGCAACGCCTGGCACACATTATGTGGCAATCCTTACAACAACAACAAAATGATTCCACTTTGCAATTTTGGTTCAGGGTGCTACTGAGGATTTCTTAAGGTTACCCTGTACTTTCATTACCAAAATGATATTTGAGCTGGTTCACATTTGATCCACTCTGGCTTCCGATCATGTAGGCCTGCTAGCGATTAGCAATGCCTTTGCCAGCCAAGTGCATCCTGTCCCTTTTGATAGTTCCATATTCTTCTATTTTGAGAATTAAAACCTGAAGCAGGATCAGGAAAGTAGGCATCTGCTATGAAGTTTTGAGTCCCCCCAGATAACAAGAACAGTTTTTAAACTGATGTTTGCATTCTGGCATAAATTCACACATATGTTGAAGCAGGGCACATCTATATTATCAACTTCAAAGGGAAACTGTGAGCAGAAAAGTCCCCAGCCCCCGATACAAGTATTTTTAAAGAAAATCTTGTATTGAGTCTTCCAGAATTGTCTATTTCCACGTGTCTTAGTCACCATACCAAAGTACAGAGTATTGTGAGAGATTAACATTCCAGACCCCTCCAAGCACATTTGATTTGAATCATCAACATCTGGACTCACTCATCATCATTGAGCAAGTTTCCTCATTGAAGGCGGACCAGTTGGAGTTGACAAGGGCTTGCCTGAGTTCTTTGACTGAGATGTAGCCGCTTTGGTCAGCATCCACACTCTGGAACCAAGAGAAGGCTTCTGGGTCCACACCTGGGGGGATGTTCCCTGCTGGGGAAAGGGCAGAACACAAATTAGGAGAACCGCATGGCCATTCATCAAGGCATGGCAAGCGCCCATTGCCACCGGCAGTAAGCTTTTAGCTCAGCAGATTTTTGGCAGCTAGAGCAACAGGGATTGGACAGGCCCTCTCTCATGCCCGCTGAGTCAGCCATTGTTTTCTAAAAGGTTTTTTTTAATAGCCAAGTTATTAATCCTGCGGAAGACGGCTCAACCCCCCCAGCAGGAGCTGGGATGCAAAGCCTTGTAAAAACAGAAGGGAAATAAATGGGATCTCTTTAGATAGTTTGTAAAGTTGAGTGCAAACATGCAGAAGGTGTGTTGTTTCAGCAGGATGTAAATGCTACCCAGTTCCAGGAGACAGATGCAGAGCCATAAACTTTTATTTCCGCCACTCAGGGTGGCAGCTTCAGTGCCTTTTGGCTCCCACCTTGGAACCTTAAATAATGCAGTCTTTCTCAACTGCCTATCTAAATGGAGATGAATAATTCAATTAGCGACTGCTTCTCCAACGCTGCGGTGCAAAACTCGAGTCAAGGGCTCCAGCTGCACACCAAGAGGCCCTTTATATGATAGATGCCAAAGATAGACGCTTGGGTGCTTGAAACGCTTTGCAAGTAGAAGAAAGTGAATCTTGGGAGATTTGGGAAAGGGGAGGCAGAAATGTGACATCTGCAAAACACAAGCTTCACTCAGCCTTGCAAAATGGTATTTGTGGTGTGCTAATTAATAACCAAAATGTGTGTGTGAGAGAGAGAAGTTTACATTCTTTTCAAATTTACAAAAGTTTCCCCGGCTGGGGTTTGATCAGTGTTCGTATGAGAGAAAGCCCACCATTGCAATTAAAGACCACGTGTACCTTTATTTATTTAATTTATATTCCATCATTTTCTCTGAGGAGTTCAAGCCAGCGTCCATGTTTCTGCCTCTCCTCATTTCACCTGCGAGGTAGATTAGGCTGAGAGGCAGTGACTGGCCCAAAGTGGCCCAATGAGCTTCATCACTGAGTGAGGATTTGAACCCTGGTTTCCCAGGCCCTAACCTGACACTCTAACCACTACATCATAGCAGCATGAACTAATGTATTTTCAGGTATGGTTTGCCATTTCTTGTCTCCTAGTGTTGATATTTAAAGTGACAAATTCCAAGTTTTTAGATCCCAAACTGAAACTTCGTATCAAGAATCTGAAGCCCAGATGCGATACGGCATGGACAGCACATGGGTGGAAGAAACTATAGGCAGGTAATTTTGGAGATGTGTGTGACTGTCTGTCAACCCTATAATGGGGAGGGAAGAAAAGCACCACCCCACAGAAGGTTTGGCTTTGAGGTCTTGCCAAGAATACTTTTTCAAAGAAAGAATTTGGTATGAAATTTCATTATCAAGAAAACAGGGCAATACACCCCAGCAGCCCCAGAAAAGTGGGTGGCATCATTCAGACAAGACATGGAGTACCATGTCATTTGAATTCAGAAAGCACGCCCCATATGGCAATCCATTAGACCTCCTCCCCATGATGATGATTACTGATTAAATTTTGATACCACCTTTCATCCAAAGATCACAGGGCAGTTTACAATATAAAAACACAAAAACACCTAAAATAGAAACAAACAAAAACAATACCCACCCAGATTTAAAGGCTATAGATTAAAAATATGGAAGATTTAATGAATTAAAGCCCTAAGCTCTTTTAGCACTCACCTCCAGGACCTACTCCCCCATAGGGGCCAGGCTGAGGAGCACCATATGGATTGGTAGAGGGTTGCCCATAAGGTCCTCCTGGTGCTGGGCCTCCTCCATACATTCCACCAGGAGGCCCAGAGGAAGGGTGGCCATAAGGTCCTCCGCTTGAGGGTGGCCCATAGGGACCACCAGGCGCTGGTCCACCATAGGAGCTGCCAGGAGGCACCCCACCTCCATACTGGCCTCCTCCAGGATAGTTGCCTTGCGGAGCACCTGGAGCTTGTCCTGCAGAACCAGGGTAACCCTACAGGAAAAAGGAAAAGGCTATGAAAGTGGCAGGGGGAATGAGTTGATTTCTACACCCCATTAATATGCAACGATGAAGGAGAGGGGCCTGTGCATTCCCAGTGCATAGTTAAGATAATATAATGCAGAGAGATTAACCCAATAGTCCTGGATTGAGTGCAGAGTGGCACTACCAATGCATGGAAGGAACTATGAGTACAGTGGTGCCTCGCAAGACGAAATTAACTCGTTCCGCAAGTCTCTTCGTCTTGCGAGTTTTTCGTCTTGCGATGCACGGTTTCCCATAGGAATGCATTGAAAATCAATTAATGCGTTCCTAGGGAAACCGCCTTCAGACCAGGTCCGGGGACAGTCTGTCCCCGGACCTCTTCTGAAGGCTGGGGGGGGGGGACAAGGGCTTTTCTTCCCACCCCCAGCATTTTAAAAAACCCCGGGACAGCGGAGGACTTCTCCGCTGTCCGGGGCGATCTTAAAATGCTGGCAGGCGGCATTTTAAAATCGCCCCGGGACAGCGGAGGACTTCTCCGCTGTCCGGGGCGATTTAAAAGCCCCTGGGAAGGCAGGCAGGGGGGACAAAGACTTTTGCCCCCCGCCAGGACCTCTTCTGAAGGCGGGCGGGGGGCGAAGGTCTATGCTCCCCCCTGCCTGCCTTCAAAAGCCATCCGGGAAAGCGGAGAAACGCGCTGCGGAGAAACGCGCTCTCCCGGGAAGGCAGGCAGGGGGGAGCAAAGACATTCGCCCCCCGCCTGCCATCAGAAGAGGTCCAGGACCTCTTCTGAAGGCGGGCGGGGGGCGAAAGTTTATGCTCCCCCCTGCCTGCCTTCAAAAGCCGTCCGGGACAGCGGAGAAACGCGCTGCGTTTCTCCGCTCTCCCGGGAAGGCAGGCAGGGGGGAACAAAGACTTTCGCCCCCCGCCCGCCTTCAGAAGGTGTTCCCTCCCCGCCGCCCGGCTTCGGAGCATCGTTCCGAAGCCGGGCGGCGGGGGCAGGTGTTCCCGCCCCGCCGCCCGGCTTCGGAGCATTGTTCCGAAGCCGGGCGGCGGGGGCAGGTGTTCCCGCCCCACCGCCCGGCTTCGGAGGAGCCTTCCGAAGCCCTGCGGCGGCCCCGCCGCCAGGCTTCGGAGGAGGTCCGAGGACAGTGGGGAAGACGCGCTGCGCTTCCCCGCTGTCCCGGATATTTCCCTATGGGCTGTCGTCTTGCGAAGCAAGCCCATAGGGAAATTCGTCTTGCGAAGCGCCTCCAAAAGGGAAAACCCTTTCGTCTAGCGGGTTTTCCGTCTTGCGAGGCGTTCGTCTTGCGAGGTACCACTGTATGTACAATCAGTATGGAGTTGTGGTCAGACAGTCAGAACAGGACGAGAGAGTCCTGGGTCCAACCACCCCACTCAGGCAAGAAGCATACTGTGCAACCTTGATCCAATCAGTCTCTGGGCTTATCCAGACTTCTGTTTGTGCAGCAATTTGTAGGCACAGGTCTGTGCTTTCTGAGCAGTTTGGTTTTTTTCCTTACCATTGCTTCCCCCAGGAAAACCTGCTGTTTACTGCTGAACTGGAACAAACATCAAGCCACGTAAAACTCAATTGATGTTTGTTCCAATTCAGTGGTAAAAGAGTTTTCTTGGTGGGACAAAAACAACAGCAGCCCTGCTTGGATCCATGCCTGGAAAACATGGTCTTATGCCTACAAATCATGGCACAAATGGAAGTCTGGATAAGTCCTCTCTATCTACATCATAAGGTTCTTGTGAATGATAAAGTGTGTGTGTGAGAGAGGGGGGGGGATATATCACCGAGTGCTACATTAGAAATGTAGTAAAGAAAACTTCAAAACTGGGTCTGATAAGATATTTGGGACTAATTAATCAGGGATAAGGAATAAGACCCTGAGAAACAGCAGAGTAGAAGGGATGGCTCCCAGGATTTAGAGTCCAAGGTCTTGGGGGGGGGGAGGTTTTTGCAATGATGTTGCTGCACAGTTACTTATAGGCAAGGAATTTGCATGAAATATTGCAAAAATCAGATAGTGCCACATCTCCAGCACTGCTGTCAGTGGCATAGTAAGAAGAACTTGCATTTGGGGTGTCTCAGTACATGGAAAATCCCAAGGCCACAGCTGAACCCAATGGCCCAGGAAGCAATGATTCTCTGCTTAACCTGCTGAACAGGCAGAGTAGGAGACGACTTTGCAGCCCTGACACCACAGAGCCTCTTCTACACAGTGGAGGAGAGGTGAAGAGAAGCTTCCAAACGTGTTTGATCAAAGGACTCCAGCACATGTCTCTTAGTCACCAAAGATAACTAACACCACCAACAAGTGCATCAAGCATTAACACCTTTCATTTGGGGTAGGTTTGGCCCTCTATGTTGCTGAATTACAACTCCCATCATCCCTGGCCACTGGCAATCTTTGCTCAGACTGCAACATGTGAAGGATCAAAGGTTCTATATGTGTGATGTAAGCAGAGAAAGGGCTAGTCTCTGCTCCACAGAGCTTACAATCTCAAGGTGGCCAGCAAAGCCAAAACAAAGAGAGAGGAAAGACAAAGGAAACAAGGGAGGAATCTTGCATTTGGCTGGGGACGAGCTTAGTGTGTGTGCATGTCAAGGAAGGCCACTGCACATCAAGACTGACAGCACTTGGCTAGCATGGGCACCATATAAATAGCTGGGTCAGACTGACTGGACATGAGAGAGGAAAGGACACTGGGAGACTCCAGCAGTTTATTTTGGAGTATTTTTACCACACCTACTAAGCAAAGTACCCAGGGTGGCTTGCAACATAATTTACAACACACACTAAAATAGAAAATGGTCTTCTCATTGTTCCAAGAAGAATCACTCTGCAGCTGAATCTCATGGACTCTTGAAGCTGTGAATTGTTACGTCTGCCACAGGCCAGGGGTTCCTAACTGCTGTCTCTTACAGTCCCTGGCTCTGGTGGCCAAGACAGGTGTGATGCGGGGGGGGGGGCATGCTGCCCAGGAAAAAGGGGTTTGTGAAATGAAGCTTCTCTCGTTCCTATGTAACATGTACTGCTTGTCAGGACTTTGCTCTCCTAACACAACTATAGCAGCTATGCTCCCTAGGCACTCTCCCTCAGGAGTAATAAGCAATGACTCTGTTTACAGATCATAAGAGTTGGAAGGGATCCTGAGGATCATCTAGTCCAACCCCTGCAATGCAGAAATATGCAGATGTCCCATTACGGGGACCAAACCTGCAATCTTGGCATTATCAGCACCATGCTCTAACCAGCTAAGGTATCATCATACCACCATCAAGCATTTCTCTGGCTCTTTTCAGTTTTGCAACAACCCTATAAGGCAGGCCAGTATTACTATCTCTATATTGCAAATGGGAGAAGCAGAGGCTGAATGAGAGTAGCTAATGTAGTGAGTACAGGGCCAGAGGTGAAAGTCAAACCAAGGACTTCCTGGTTCATAGCTTAATGTCTTGGGGTGCTTAAATAATTCCATGTTAATCCCCACAATAACTATTAAATAGGTCACTATTCTTGCGGGGGGGGGGGGCTGATAGAGAAGCAGCTTGCCCCAGGGCAATCCCAGCCATATTACAACACTTGAAGCTTTTCATTTCCCACTATATCCATGCAAGGGCAGCCACTGGCAGATTTCAGAGGCCAAGGTTTCCTGGGGGAACAGCTGAAATTCAGCCCAGGAGGTTACTATGTGAAGCCGAGCCTCTTTCCTAAATACACTTATTAGGGACCAAGCCCTACTGATCACAGTGGGACTTACCAGGCAGAGGGCCTTCTCGGTAGTGGCGCCTGCCTGGTGGAACGCCCTCCCATCAGATGCCAAGGAAATCTGAGTTTTAGAAGACATCTGAAGGCAGCCCTGTATCAGGATTTTTTTTAATACCTGATGTTTTGCAAATTTTTATATGCTGTATGACGCCCAGAGTGGTTGGGGAAACCCAGCCAGATGGGCAAGGTATAAATAATAAAATTATTATTATTATTACTTCTGAGTAAACACCCACAGGACGGTGCTGCCTGTCACTCTGCTACACCAGCTCTCCTCTGATCACCTAAGTGATCAGGCCAAACGCTTCCGACCCTTCCCCAACATCTCCCCCAATGAATCCTTTGCACTCGAGCCCAACCATGATGTCACCTCACAGGCCCACGCCGGCAATGACGTCACTCTGGGAGATATGCGCTTCCTGTCTGCGTACGTTTTCCCACTCCAGCCTCCTATCTCCATCGCCCCGGACTCCTGGGTCCTCTCCTACTCCCCGTTCCCTAGGTAACGTCCAACTCCCCCTTCCCCCGGAAACGCTCCGTCGCCTAGGCAGCAGGTGGGGCCTTCAACCCCCTGGAGGCTCCCCTCGGCAGGGGGCAGGAGAAGGCGGTCGGCGCTCCACCCTCGCTCGCTTACCTGCCCATACGGGTAGCTGGCCGCCATTGAGCTTTTCACAGCCGCTCGGGCCACCGCCCCCTCCTCTCTGCACGCCCCCTCCTTTCCGCTCTGGCACCGCCTACTGACGCAGCCAATTGGGGGACAGGCTTGCTGAGCCTCCCGCGGACTTGGGCCGAGCTCCCGTCAGTCACCCACCGTAGGCGGGGCCCTGTGACTGAGGAAGTCCATAAAAAGAAAAGCGGGCCTTCCTTTTTTCCCTGGGAGGGGAGGGAGGTGCTGGTGGGCGGGGAAGAGCTCGTAGCCCCGCCCCCTCAGCCGTTGCCGACCGTTGCTAAGAGCCGCTTCCGCTTCCCTCGCTTCTACCTCAGGGCGGTTGAGAAGCGAAGAGCCGTCGCAAGAGTGGCAACAACAACAGAAGCAGAAATAATTACACAAAGAAGCCACCGTGGCATTATACAAACAGAAGTAATAGCAAAATATAACAATAAATCATTTTTTATTCGAGCAGGCATTTTAACTGAAGGCTGATTTGTAGTTTTAACTATTTTAAAAAAAATCTTTATTTCTTGTGCACTTTAAAAGCTGTAACTGCCTCAAAAAACCCTTAACTCAATGACTCCTGTATGCCAGAGAAAGATGCTCTACTTGCCTCGCTTTTTACAGCTCCCAGCTGGGTGTGCATCTATACCTCCAAACCACTGAACTGCAGGTGGTTCTAGAAATGGGTCTTGCCGTGATTAATACTGTATAACTGTAGCCTGGAATCCCAGCTCCACTCTCACTTCCAGAGGAAGACGTTCATAAATTAAATAAATAAATAATGAGAAGTCTCTTTTTAGATTTATCCTGATGCTAAGAAATGGTGGCACAGCCTGAGTTCCAGAAAACGGGGTGAATTTTGTGCCTTCCAAAAGACAAAAGAATGATCATCAGTCTGAAGGTCAGCCCTCCATTGAGAATATTCATGTTTTAGCATTAAATCCATAGCCATTCCATCAGAGCTTAAAAGAAGTGAAAAAACAGTTTCTTGCAGATTATTTTCACAAGAAGCCGTATCCCACTGAAAAGGAGTTAGTTACTGCTGTGCTTGGAAAGCTGATGTTGCATCATTTGGGGGGGAGAAAGAGACACATCTGCCTAAAGGCAATAAAAAATCTTAAGCCATCCGTGCTTTGGGGCTTCAATATGTCCGAACTTAAAAATGTGAAGGCCGGTTTGAGGTTAACGTGAATTGGAGGATGTGTGAGTCCCCCCCCCCCCAGCAATATAAGGCAATCAAGTTTGCCTATTCAGCCTTCTGTCATGATTTCTTTAGTTGAGATTCCTGCATTCCATGGGATGGTGGAATAGATGACCCTCGGGTCTCTTCCAACTCTACAATTCTATGATTCTCTTAATCTTAATCTCCCACCCCAACCAGAGTCCATGCCTTTCCAACATTTTTGGGCCAGTGGGCACATCTGGAATTTTGAGAAAGTGCTGTGGGTGCCAGTCACAAATTGGTTGTTGTGGGGTGTGTTGCATAACACAAAATGGCTGCCATATTTAAAAGGGCAGAAAAGGACAGGAACCTGAAATGGTGTTGGCATGCTTCTCTGCCAATGGAAAAATGACTCCTACCTGAATCACTACTACACAGAGCGAAGTTCTTTGCACCTTTCCACTGTTCGGCATGGGAGTGTGAATATCCAATCCTGGCACCCAACAAAGATGGGCATGTGTGTCCTACCCCCTTTCAACTTCCATTCACCTGAATGCATGGTTAAAAGGCTCTTGGTGGAATCACTTCTCACCCTTCTCTCTTTCCTTTCCTTCTCTGGACAGCCTTCATCATAAATGTCAAATTTCTATTTTGTTTACTTTTTAAATGAAACTCAATTTCCTGAAATGCTCTGATCTTGTATCTGCTGCTTTCTGAGCGCCTGTCATTGGCACTCTGGTACAATAATGAAACAAACTAAAATTAAAAGCTGTCTTCCTGTGTATTTGGAAAGTGTGCAGATTTCTGTGCCAGTTCTGTCAGACAAATAAATTGCCTATCCTCCAGCAGCATCGATCCAGGGTTGCAGTGGGGAATGGTTCTCATGGCACATGTAAGCTGAATTCCAACCTGACTCCCCAATCATCATGTTCCAGAATAGCTTATTATTTTAATATTGAGAAATAGCCCTCAGATGTATATTAAGGGTTGTATTCTGAGCAATCATGGTAATATATGGAAGAAGATAGATGTCCGCTATAATGGTGCCCTTGTATGCTAATGCACAGGCTCTTTGGGGAGTGGGCAATGGGGTCACATCAATGCTGACAAGCAGTCAAGGCAAATGAGAAGGGTTCAAAGGAAGATTTAAGGTCCTTGGGCGTCTCAAGGGTCTGTTCATGCATCTTTCAGGTGACAAGAAATCCCTAGGCACACCCCTTGCTGCTTGTTTTAGGATCTTGAATGGATTCCCTGCTCAAAGCTTTATGTTTAAGTGATGTAAGCAGTGCTTTTTTAAAAAGAAAAGAAAAAAGGTGCCAGTACTCACCATGAAGTTGTTATAGTAAGTGCCACAGGTTTAACATTTTTTGGGGGTGGTGCTGGTACTGTGTACCCTCGAGTACCCCCAGAAAAAAAGCACTGGATGCAAGACCAGTAAAAGCTACATTGCTTTCTCTTTGGTGGCTCCAAAACTATGGAACATTTGCCCAGTGAGTCTTCTTGATGTTAAGCCTTCTTGTTCAGATGAGCTTTTCGGAAGCTATAATGTCATTTGCTCCCAGTGTCTATTATCCTCATTGCCTCATTTTGCATAAGATGTATTGAGCTGTATTATGATTTATAACTTTATTTTATAAATTAGATTGATGTTAATTATATTTTTTATCTCTCTTTTTAGAAATCTTGTTTTATTTAACTGCAATATTAATTCAATTATGTGTTTCAGTAAGAATACTGATCCTGCAGTTGTGGCTCCAAGTCCAATATCCAATAGTACACATTAGATCATGAGCTACTATAAGTTTTTGGAGAGGATGTGATTTAAATTTGTTAAATGTGCTGATTCTTACTTCAAGAGGCTATGCTGTTTACAATGGGCTATATAATGGCAGCTTCTTAAGTATTTAGGGGCAAAAACTTTTAGGCTGTTATGAGTGAAGATCAACATCCTGTCTTTTATGCAGAAGGCAGAAGCTGATTTCCCAGACTCTCCAAGATACTTGCACACACAATGCAATTTCAGTAGTCTAGCCTCAAAATTATTGTGAAACGAATCCATTTCATTCAAGAACAAGGTTACTGCAATTTCATATATCCTGGAGTATCAGAGTATGATTTCTGATTCATCTAGATTTGGTGAAAGAGGTCTCCCTCTAATTAAAGAGACAAGAGATTTGTGTGTAAATTGTCAAACTAAGTTTTAGATTGTTCAGAAAAAAGAACAGGAGAAAACCCTCCCTTGTGTGATTGAGCTAGTGTAGCCTTACTTAACCACCATATTTTCATGTTTGGAGCCAAGATTTTGTAATTGCAACCATTATTTCTAATCACAACCCTTGTTTTCTAACAAAAGGACCAAAGGTTGTCAAACAAGAATTCTTGCCGTTCTCTGGCTGTTTCCTGCTGCAGAGTCCATTTGGTAAATGGACATTGTTCACGGAATGGCATAAAAGTGTGTTGTAATCTGCTAGGTTTAAACACAGCATGTGAGCCAAAGGGTTGAAATGAAAGTGAGCCAAATACCAATTAGGAAACAAGGCATCATTTATTTAAATAGAATGGCTAACCATTAGGAAAGGTTCTTCAGCTGAGAAAAGATTCCACTACTTACTCTTCTCTACCAAGACCGTTAAGGGGCACATTTCATGTAAACCTCTATTGCAATGAGATGCTCACAATTCCAATAACCTAGTTAGTTTTAAGTCTAGGAATAGCTGACAGAAGCTACATAGCAACACAAACAGCTTGCTTGGTAGCCAATTCTTATTTCCAAAATAAAGTAAATTGAGGTCTGAAGGCATATAAGAACAAGAGGATTTTTGGGAGGGGGGGATTTTTGAGCAATTTTTTTTTAAATCCACATTTCCCCAGTATGCCATTGCATGAAAGAGCTGGTTCCCATGAAGGGGTGTGGTGTGTTTATTTTAAGGGGGAGCAAAAGTGATGTTTGACCGTAGTTTCTCATCTGACTCTAAAATCTCCCAATTGTAATGCCCAGAGATTCCAGCAGTCAGTAAAATCTTTAACTTTGGATAAGCATTGTTTGGTCTTTTTTTTTTTTTTGAGTGAAAAATATATTTTATGAAAAGTAAACAACTGATGTTCCAGTAACATTAAAGAAAAGTCACTGATTCCAGTATATTAAAAAGGTATAATCCCTCTCCCTTACCCCTGGCCAAGTTTCACATTACGTACAATAGAAATGGAAGAAACCAGAATTTTGCTCATTTGGACAAAAATGTAATTACATCATAATACACAAAATGGTGTGTGTGTGTGTCACATAGAACTGATTTTTCAGTTATTTTTAGATGCAGGAGTGCCTGCCATTTTTTGCTGCAGACAGAATAACTAAGGTTCAGTATTGTTCAGCTCCAATGTTCATCTGGGAGCAAGTCTCAGTCAATTTATGGGGCTTAATACAGAGTAGGCACACACAGAATTTCAATGTTAATTCCATTTTAGAACTCCACCCTCCATATCCACCCCTCCACATTCTTTCAAGTTTTAACCTAAACTTATGACAAAGATGCCAATTCACACAAGTTCTGTTGAACTTAACAATAGGAGCACTTCCACATTTTTTGCACAGCTACTGGAATTTCCTGCTGGAATATGCACCTGCACATATTGTTGAAAGGCTAATATTTCATTCCTAACGAACAGAAGAGGTGTGGAAGTAATTTACCCATTATTTGCCCACAGCAATTGAAAGACTGAAGCATTATTTCGAAATGTATTTTGCTGAACACAGATGACAAAATCAACTTCCCTTTAGAATACTGAGGCAAACATACACACAGCCACACATGCTTGGATCGTTGTCTTTGAAACAAAACCAAAACAAAATATCATTATGAACGGTTGAACCCCACTGGCGGGAAAAAAATATAGTCAAAATATTAACAACAATGAAAAAATAATCATTCACGACTAGTCACAAGGACCAGAACTTTGGCGAATCCCAATGGAGTCCTTTGTGGAAGAAAACCTGTCAGTGCTTCAGCCTAAAGGCCCCTTCATGTTTTTGGGCTGATACATTGGCTGTTCCAGAGGCATCATGCCGAAGCAATCTGAAGGGTTGCAGTGACCTGTTTTTCCAGGCGGCCCTGTAATCCCTGGGGGTCCTGGGATGCCTGGGATACCCTGCTGTCCCATAGGTCCTGGAAGACCAATCTTGCCATACCCTGGTGGTCCTTGTATCCCTGCAGAGAAGAAATGAGAAAGAGGGCCATTTCATAAGCTTCATCCATTGGGGCTTATGTAGACTGTTTTGTGCTTTCCACTTTCTGGAAGGGCAGGAGCTTCTGGGAATAGGTCTCACATCCTCCTCACCCCCTTCGCAGTCCTTACTGCTTGAGCAAGCTGCAGTCCCTTCTGAGGAGGCCCACCTCCTCATTACTATAGCTACTCCCCATGTCACTTGCCCTCTCCCTCTGGGTCAAATCTGCACAACCACAAGTGGAGGGCGAGGCTATATCTCCACCCATCATTGCTTGCATGCTTGGGGAGGGCAAGTGAACAGGCAGTGAGAGCATGGAGGAGGACGAAGGCCAGGAGTCTTTAAGGAGGAGTCAACCTTTATATCTCTATAAAGTTACAGAAAAAGAACTCACCCTTACTTTCCGTATTAACTAATTCACTCTTATGATGTGCGTATGTATGTGTGTATAAAAAAAGGTAAAGGGACCCCTGACCATTAGGTCCAGTCGTGACCGACTCTGAGGTTGCGGCGTCACATACCCAAATGAAGTAAACAAGTTGTTTTAAAAAGGATGCCTGTTATGGTGCAGGAAGAAAAGGAGGCCTCAGGAACCTTGGGACTTATGTTCACAAGTGGTGGGGGTGTAAATATGTACAATTGGCAAAGGGTGTTTAAGGAGATAACAGAAATCACTGGGTTAAAGCTGACCAAAAGTCCAGAGGTAGCATTATTATCAATTTATGATGGGGTAGAAGGTTCACAGGCTATGAAGGACTTGCTCACAAATTTATTGACAGCTGCATGGGTTATTTTAGCTAGGAAGTGGAAGGGGCAAGGTAACTGAATATAAAATGGAAGAATGGTATAAAGAGGTGTGGGATATAGCTATTAATGATAAATTAACGTGTTGTTAAGGTAAGATGGGGAAAATGCAGCAGAAATGATTTTGAGGAGATATGGAAGGTATTTGTAGAATTTGTTCTGTTAAAACGGAAAGGGATCAAACCATCACAAACCTCCTTTTGGGAGGTTGGATAGTTACAGTGGAATGGTCTTGGGGGGGAAGTACACACATTTTAATTTTATTTATTATTATTACTATGTCAAAATATAAATAAAATAATAATAAAAAGAAAGAAAAAGAGGCCTGTACCTGGAGGACCTGGAGGGCCAGTCTCTCCCATGATTCCAATCCCTTTGTCTCCCTTTTCACCTTTGGCTCCTGGCTCACCTGCACCAAGAGAAAGGAAAAGGAAGAGAAGCTGCAAGATCCACCACCAGCACCTACAGAATTGTCTCCATGTATCGGAAGCACAGAGCCTTGTTCTCATTGCATCAGTTTGCTGTTAACGTAGGTCTTTTATGATACTGATGTTAAGGCTAATGCTTGTGTCTTCTTAATAGCTAAACACTGGTCAGTTTCATGCCAAATTTGGTAGATGTAATTGCTAGCAAGGAGAAGGAATAAATCATCCACTGCAAGAATACCTAGAACATCCCACAATCCAAATCCTTAGGTTAGTCTGCAGGGTATAAGAGGCCCTCTGAGCCTGCCACTATCAGGGACAGAAATGGAAGTGCGTACCTCTCATTCCAGGCACACCTTGTCGACCCTCTCTCCCAATCTGTCCTGGCATTCCTGGGGGACCTGGAGCCCCTTGCCGTCCAGGTATACCATCTTTACCAGGGGGCCCTGGTCTTCCTGGCTGAGCAGCCACTTCCACTGGGAACTGCATCCGGGAGGTATAATACGCCATCCGCTCTGCAGGAGGAGATAAAGAGAGTGCAGTGTTTGCTTTGCTGTTGTAAAGATGGCCCATTGGTCTGGGCACTGATGGTTTGCTCTTGCTAGAAGGGATGGATGGATGGAATAGTAAAAAATGAGTCTGCATCAGTTTTGAACATAATCAATATAAAGACTGTCGTGTCCCATCTATGTGTAGAATTTTGGGAAAATATCAGCACAAAACTCCCTTGAAAAAAGAAAAACCTTTTTTTAAAAAAGCTTTTTCTTTTTTTTCTTTTGTACAGCTGTCACTTAGCTAGAAAGCACCACTGTTGCACCATTTGAAAAAGGAACTGCAAAAGCCCCTGGCCGTCCCAGGAATTTTGTATGGAGAAAGGAGTGACTGGTCCCAGGTACCCATGGCCATCTTTTCCCCACACTGGGACATTGTATGGAAAAAAAGATGGCCACTACCATGGGTACAAGAGGGCAACCACATTTTCCTCTGTACAAAGTTTGAAAGCGGTATTCATCATCCTACAGGTTTATCCAGCCTCATGTGCAAGCTGTGTGGAAGCTGCTTTGCTGTCTAGTCTTTCCAAGCAGCTGAATGCTATACCAAAAACCAAACACTACAGGGAAAAGGGTTTCAGGTAGTCCTCAGGCCATGCCATAACTTAAAGGCAAAAATTGAGTGACATTATTGGTTGTTGAATAATGGATTCCAAAACAAAACAACATTCCAATGTGCATATTCGTCTGGGAGCGTTCATTTTGGAACTTGAGCCCAGTGGATTCTTCTAGCATCCCAAGCTAGTGGCAGGGACAACAGGGGCCTTCTATTGGGTAGCTTATGGGAAATAGAAAGATGGTAGCCAGGGAGAGGATCTTCTTAGTTGTGGCACCCCATATATGAAATCTGCCATGCAACTGAAGCTTGCTTAAACTGGTTTTTATTCATTAATTGAATATGTGTATGCTGCATTTCTGGGAAGCTCAGAGCTGTTCACAATGGCAAAAAATACTATTTATATATATGTGGTACTAAGCAAAAGACTTTTTAAAAAATTGCTCAGGCATTCCAGTCTGTTTTATGGCTGATCTAAGTTCTGTATTTATGACTTTTGCTGGATTATACCGACTACTGAATTTTATGGCTGCAGCTCCTGTGATTTTGTATTGTCCTTTTATTGAATTTTATCCTATCTGTTTTATTATTTTAAAATTGTACAATGCTCTGAGAGCCTTGAAGGGTGGTTTATAAATCCACTAAAAATAAATAAATCCTAGGTTGGGTCTCAGCTAGGGGAATGATGGAACAAGCTTCTGTTCTAGAATGTGTACTATGATATATAATGCTGAGAGAGGAGTAGCAGAGAGGAGCTTTAGCCTTTTAAAGACATATCCACAATATCAAGCGTGATGATGAATCCACGGAGGATAAGGCTATTAATAGCTGCTAGCTACAATTACTGTCTTCTGCCACCACTGTCAGAGGCAGTACGTCTCTGAATACCATTTGTTGGGGACTTCAGGCTGGCAGGGTGCTGTGCTCAGGCTTCCCAACCTGGGAACGGTAGGCTAAATTATATGTATACAAGGATTTATTTTTGTCCATTCACAAGTTTTAAATCCTTGTTATTTGTTCAGGAGCCATGAGAAACAAGCTCATAAAATCAGGGCAGGTACAAGAATGTATCCAGCAGCATATTCTTCTGCACATAACTTGCTGAGATGAAGAGAATCTGCACAGGTCTCTCACTTTACTGCTCTTCACAGTACCCCACAAAAATCTGACCACCAAGGCAGCCACATCATCTTGTGGCAGGGTTGCAACTGCTTAAAAGATCTGCCCAACTTATACAATAAAGAAGGAACAGCTACACTCAGTCTGCTCAATGGTCCCAAATGGCAAAGCCATGAGATGATATTTCTGTGAAGTAGAAGCCAAAGGTGGAAGAGGTGGAGCCTCAAAGCTCTGCCAAGAAATCATTCTTTATCAAACACCATTCTTGTAAAGATTCTAAAAAGCCCAAACACAATGCGGTCGAAGACAACCTTCTTCTGGTCCTTCTCTCTGTCAAAGCAGCATCTCTCCCCCCACTCAATATGGCTGCTGCCACCACCACCCCAGCAATGTTTGCTACTAACCATCAAACATTTTGTTCAGTTCTTGTCTGATGAATCTCCGGATTTCATCATAATTGATGGCATCCGCCTAGCAAGAAAAATGAGGAGGAGAAAAGGCAGAAGTCATTCTCTGTCCTAGCAGCAAAGAGATACACCGGCAGAGAAAACGCTAATCCTGCAGAATCTGTTACTTTTGTAGTCCTCTAAATAGCCTGTGCCAAGAACCTTCCCATGGCATATCCTAAGCAATTTTCAGCATTAATAGTTTCTTCCCCTTACTCTGCACCTTTTTCAGGCAAACCCATTCCATTGGATACATGTCCCTTAGCTGTCACTCATTTGCTGTCAAAGCAGGTGGGTCATAAAGCCTTCACCAATCCAGTGCCTTCCAGATGTTTTGGACTACAACTCCCATTAGCCCCAGCCAACACTCTAAGAAATTTAGTAAGGTGACTTCTGAGTCACAGGCCCTGGGTTTGACCTGCTCTCAACGCACATAGTATTAGGCAGAATTTTATACTTCTGATTTGTTTTCCCTTTTTGCATTTGTCCCCTTCTGTTTAAGGAGCTCAGAGCAGCTTTTTCATTCCACAGCAACTCTTTAAGTTGAACTAGGTTGAAAGTAGTGACATAAGTACCCAGCAAGTGTCATGGCTGACTGAGGTCTTCCCCCTCTATATTGCATTAATCAGAAGCAAACCTTAGTATGGGGCTGGATTTGGGACTTCTGCTGTATGTACAGCATCTGGTTTTGTATTGCATTGTAATTAATCAGTTATGTCTCTTTTTATTAAAGTTGGTCACAGTATACAAGAAGGCCTATAGCCAAACACTTCACCTGCTGACAGCACCAAGCCTTGCTTGGAAACCTTGCCTGGCATTCTAGTCTCCCATTGCACCCCTCAAACAGTAGCCACACACTCCCCATCTCTTACCATGGTCCCAGGCAAGCCTGGGTTCCCTGGACTTCCTGAGGGACCGGGAGGACCAGGCTGCCCTCTCTCCCCAGAGGGGCCGCGTGGCCCAATAGGACCCATCTCGCCACTCTTTCCTGGCCCTCCTGGCATCCCAGCTCTGCCTTTCTCACCAGGGTGTCCTCTCTCTCCTACAGACCCCGGTTCACCCTGGAAGAAAAAAGATGGCAAGAAGTCCATGAGGCATTTTCACGGGATTGGAGACTAATACTAAGATCTCAGCCACCACACTTACCTTTGGTCCAGAGGGTCCAGGAGGGCCTGGTTTTCCTGCTGCACCCTAGTAAGAAGGAAAAGGGAAGCAATAACCATGGAGATAAAGACTCACCATGCTTTGCCCCATAGACATGCTCAGGGCAGGCTTCTTCTGGCACTGCTCCTCCCACCTGCCAAAGAGGGAAGGTCTTCAAGAAGACTGCAGAGACCACAATTACCATACCTCTTTGCCCACTTGTCCGTCGGAGCCTGACTCGCCCTAGGAATCAACGGGGGGGGGGGGGGGCAGAAGCAAAAGGTTATTTTCTTTTCATTTTGAATCTAGGCCCATAAATCATGGTTTGTAACGATCTCATATTCTTCTCATATGAGCTATGCTGGGATCTGAATGTGCATCCCCGAATTCAAACCCAACATTCATGCTGGCCCTTAAAATGCAAACCAAAGATTGGCCACACAGTTTTTCAGCAGACTGATCTTGGGGCATTCCAATTCCAACCCACCACACTTACCGGTGGGCCTGGGTGACCCGGTGGGCCTGGCTGGCCTGGAATCCCACTGAGACCTCTTTCCCCAGGCGATCCCCTCTCACCCTTCAGCCCCTGGGGAGAGAAGGTTTTAGGCATTAGATACTGCTAGAAGCAGCTAAGAAGATGCAGGAAAGATGTTGTTGGGCTCCAAATCAGTCCCAGACACCATGGCCAATGGTCAGGGGTGATGGGAGTTGGAGAGCATCAATATGTCTACCCTGTTGTAGGCCTTTGTAGTGTATAGCTAATGGGGTGCAACAGTCAACTCTGGAATAAGGACTCTCCCCCAAGGCTGTGTTCAGAGCACTGTGGGCTGACTCAGTAGATTTTGTATATATGGAACTTCTCTCACAAAACCTCCAACCTGCAGTTTCACTGTAGTTTATCTCCCATTTTGTTCCCTAGCAACTGGTAGTCAGAGGTACATAGTGGTACATAGGCATATTACCTTCCTCCATTCTACACCCCCCCTTTAAAGTAATCCAATTTGGTGGCCATCACAACATCTGGTGGTAGCCAGTTCATTATAATTCAACTATACACTGCGTGAACAAGTCTGCCCTTTTGTGTGTCCTCAATCTTCCAACATTCAGCTTCGTAGGGTGACCCTGGGTTCTAGTATTATGAGAGAGGGAGAAAAACATCTCTCTACCAACTTTCCCCATAATTCTATACTCCTCAGTGATGTTGCCTTTTTTCTAAAACTGCCAAACACTGTACCCTTTCCGCTTAAGTATCATTTTGGTTGCCTCTTTCCAGCTCTGCAATATTATTTTTGAGATATGATGACCAAACTGCACATGGTATGCTAAGTGTTGCTGCACCATAGCTTTCTATAGTGGCATTATGGCATTGGCTTCTTATTTATGTGAAAAGGAAGCTGACCATTTCTGTAGCAGCAGCTGCCAACAGGGAGCCAACAGTAGCAGGAATGATACTCACAACTCCAGAAAGTCCTGCTGGGCCTGGCTGGCCAGGGCTTCCAGGGGGACCCTGAAGAGGCAGAGAAACACAGCAAGTTTAATAACAGGATTAACCGGGGAATGCAGTACAGACAGAAAACTGATGGGGAAACGCACACTAGGGGTTTTTTTATTTAGGAATTTATTAGTGCTTTACCCCTGCCTTTTGGTTCATAAAAAGACCCACAAGGCAGCTCAGAAAATGCTACCTAAAATCCAAATTAAAAATGCACCCAAAGCCAACTATAAAGCAGAGTAGAATAATTATGTCAGCAGTAAAATTTTAAAACAACAACAGAGCTGAGATTCTAAGTGCTCTTTTATTGCACTTTTGCAAAGCTACATTTTTTCATTCACTCACATCGCTTACTGACTCTGGACCAGATGAGGCTTGCTGTTCACAGGTCTGTCTCACTCACATGGGAGAAGATGGATCTTTATTTATATCAAATGGGGCACCCGGGTGAAGGGAGCCAAGCTCTCCTCTTGTCTTTCATCCCTGTGCTCCACTACCCACTTTTCACCTTTTCCCACTTGTGGTATTGGAGTCAGTTTGGGGAGAAGAGCACCCAAAGCAACTGTGTATGATAAGGCAAGGCAGGATTTGGCTCCCTTTTGCTTTATGTACAGATCACCCCTGCTCTATATGTGAGTTTTGCAGCCATGTGAAGAAACGAACATGGCTACCTCCCAAATCGAGTTTGGTCCTAAAGGTGATTCAATTTTGTGTGTGGTTTTATATCCCACTTAGAGAGCACTTCTAAACTACCTAAGAGCTTCACAGCCTCCAGTACATTCAGCTGTCCAACAACCCTGTAAGATCTATCCATGCTGGAGCCAAAAGTTGGCCAAGGCTATGCAATGAACTCAAAGTCAAGATGGGACTTGCATTTGGCTTTCCAAGATCCAACATTCTAGCAAATTTTCACTGTCCAAACTTGACATGCAGAAATCTCAGAGGCCCTGATCCAGCTAAGTCCCACTGAAAAATGGATGAAATAAAAGCCTCCTCTTTAGTGATAAATTGGTATGAATAGCAATCTGCTAAAAACCCGACTGCCATTTGCTCTGATTCAGTGCTAAACTGTAAGTTTTCCTGGTGGAAAGTGGCAGGGCAAAGAGAAGCGTGGGTGAGATGTAACTGGAACCCTGACATTTTCTTTTCTTTTTTTTTTAAATGCATTTTTATTGAAGTTATACACAAAAACAGACATATAAGAAAATACAAAGAGAAAATTACACAGAAAAGAGGGGGGAAAAAACACTCATCCGAAAAAAGAAAAACACACAATCTGAACTTCCTTCCATCCTTTTGATAAGTATCAAATATCTCCTTCCATTACGTATTTGATTTTCAATCTATAGTCTTAAATTCACTCGCTGGTCGTATTGTTCTAACCCCGTCAGTTCACTTTAAACATTTATTCCAATATATTTCCAAAATTTGCTCCAATTTTTCAGAAATTTCTGTTCATCCTGATCTCTTATTTTACCTGTTAATTTGTCAAGCTCAGCATAGTTTACCATTCTAATCTGCCAGTCCTTTATGTTGGGGATAGTTTCCACTTTCCAATATTGTGCCAACATAATTCTCGCTGCTGTGGTGGCGTAGAGGAATATCGTCCTATCTTCTTTTTTAATTTCTTTATCCATCATTCCCAACAAGAAGGCTTCAGGCCTCTTGGGAAAGGTATACTTAAATATTTTTTTAAGTTCATTATAAATTGATTCCCAAAAGCCTTTCACCTTTTTACATGTCCACCATAAGTGATATAGGTCACCCTCCACCTCGCCACATTTCCAGCATCTCTTGTCCTTTAATCTATACATTTTGGCCAGTTTCACAGGGGTGTGGTACCATCTATATAGCATCTTCCAGATATTTTCTCTCAGTGCCATACATGCTGTGAACTTTATGTTACAATTCCAAACTTCTATCCACCTTTCGAAATCAATATTATAACCAAAGTCAATTGCCCATTTAATCATTGCCTCCTTCACCTCCTCGTCCTTTGTGTACCACTCTAATAGTATATCATAAATTCTGGACAGGGTTTTGTTTTTGCCTTCTATTACTTCTATATTAAATTTTGATTTTTTATCATCAAAACCCACCTTCCTCTTATCCTCTTTTAACAAATCATTCACCTGGTGGTATTGCAGCCAACCAGTGAATAAATTTTTTATTTCTTCATAAGGTCTAAGTTTGGGCCCTTGGTCTGTTTTTCTTAACATTTCTTCATAGGTGGCGTTTATCTCCTCCATATTTATTTTCTTGACCGTTAAAGCCTCTATTGGTGAAATCCACCATGGGGTCTTTCTTTCAAGGAGGTTTTTGTTCCTTTCCCATGCTTGATATAATGGTCCCCTAAAAATATGGTCTAAGAAACTCTTGTGGACTTTCACTTTCCCATACCAAAGGTACGAATGCCATCCGTACCGATTATTAAAGCCTTCCAGGTCCAGTAGCTCTCTATTCTCCATTTTATCCAATCTTTTAACCAAAGTATACAAGCCGCTTCATAGTATAAGCTTAGGTCTGGGAGAGAAAAACCCCCTCTTTCTTTTTTATCTATCAAAATTTTCATTTTTATCCGTGGCCTTTTCCCCTGCCAAATATACTTTGCCAAGGCTCTCTGCCACTCTTTACATTGTTTTAGGCCTTTAAGTATGGGGATGGTTTGGAATAAAAATAACATTCTGGGCAGAATGTTCATTTTAACAACAGCTATCCTCCCCAAAAAGGAGAGTTTCATCCTCCCCCAAATTTCCATGTCTTTCTTTATAATCCTCCAGGTGGCATCGTAATTATCCTTGTATAAATTTATGTTCTTAGCTGTAACCCAGATCCCAAGATATTTCACTTTCTTAGCTACCGCAATTTCGGTCCTTCTTTCTAGATCTATCATTTCTTCCTTTGTTAAATTTTTAACTAACATTTTGGTTTTATTTTTATTTACCTTAAGTCCTGCCACGGCTCCAAATTCGTCAATTTTTTGTAAAGCTTCTTTTACGCTATTTTTTGGGTCTTCTAAGGTTAGTACGATGTCATCTGCAAAGGCCTTGATTTTGTATTCCCTCTTTCCTACCTTGACTCCTGTGACTTCTGTTGCCCCCCTCAGTCTCTCGTTTAGTATTTCTAATACTGTTATAAACAATAGAGGGGACAGGGGGCAGCCCTGTCTGGAACCCTGACATTTTCAATGTGACTTAGCAATGTCTAACTTCTGCATTGGGGTAAGAATATACAACTACAATATATTATTGTGATTATTCACAAGACTTCCTAAGTGCAACTACTATTCTTATGGGGAGGGGTCCTGTTTTTATTTTCCACATTAGCTTGTGCAGAAAGCACAGCTGCAGATTGTTCTACTGGTTTTTTTAAGGAATCCTAAAAAGTGAGAAAGGACCCAAACTGAAAAATTAACTAGCTGCATGGTCTTTTGCATAATGTTTCACATGAATCCACACATCATGGACCTTCTGGAAAGCAGGAACTGATTTTAGCAGGTGACTTAGACCCAGCCTGAGCCCCAATAACAATCATGCAAAGGCTGAGAATTAAGTATTTTGACTTACAAGGTGGCCGGGAGGACCTGGTCTGCCTTGAGGTCCCATAGGGCCTGGCTCTCCCTGAAGGAAAAGAGAGAGAGAGAGAAAGCTGAAGGATAACATGGAAATTCAGAGCAGACACATGACTCTATTCAGTGGAGACTAATGAATCATCTTCAGATTTCTCATACAGTAGGCTTTAAGCACATGTTGTATATACATTCTTATACCCAGGTCAGATTGGCCAGTGACTCTGATTTTTTCACTCTTGCAAGCTACCCTTCTGTGAAGCATCTGCTCTTGCTTGCACTGCAGGCTGCTCTGCATGTCACAAGGTATTCAGGGAGGAGCTGGCAAATGAACATCCCCATAGCAACAAGGTCCCCAAGTTCTTTTTCCCCATTGGGGGAATAGCTGCCACTCCCTTACATCAGAGAAATAAGAGGTTTGCACAGTATGAGGATAGGAACTATGCCCATATTTTAGTTTGGCCCTGCTCCCTTAGCAATCTTGCCAATCCCAGCCTGTTTATCATTGTGAATTGCTGTCTGCAAAGCCCCAGGCTTCACCTGCATGACCTCGCCTTAAGTTCCTGACCCAGGAAAGTGATGGTTATATACACATGCAGCTGAGGCTGCAATGGGGCATAGCATTAGTGTTACAGGGACAGAACAGCCCATTGTGCATCAGAGCTGTGGGCTGGATTTAGTGGCTAACTCCATCAGTCTGTGAATCCAAAATAAAAGAGTACAAGTCTTGTGCTGTGTGCCCAGAGCATTGACCTGTAAAAACAACACACTTCTGGTGGCGTGCTGATAACTCACCTCAGCTCCAGTCCGGCCAGGATTCCCAGGTGGCCCTGCAGCGCCACAGTCACCCTAAGAAGTAATATATGCATGGTTCATCATGTTTATATGGGATATTCCACAAAAAGCTGACACTGTCTGGTCCTGGGGACCCCAACAACATAGATCCATAGGAGGATGGGCTTGCTATGATTGCTGCGCATGCCTCTCAATGCACTAGCGTGACTGATGTTTCAATTGAAGAAGTTGCAGGTTGTATCTGCGGTCTTCTACATGCAAAGCAGGGACTCTGCTGCAGAACACTGGAGGGCTATTGCCCCAAATATTTCGTAGCCTGTTGCTTCAGAACACCTTTGATGTTTGACTACTCTGTACTAGGAAAAAATAGGTCACCCAAATTCTGCAAGAAGAATCCTGTGGCCTGCACAGATCAAACAAGTACATTTGCATGCTTTACTTCACATTACTAAGTTTCACCCCCTCCCTGCAATTTTCATGATTTATTCTGCTAATTATCAAGGGTGGGAAGAAAGAAGGCATGCAGGGCTCCCTCTAAAGTCCTGGCTCCAAAACTATTTAGCCAGTCTTCTAGTGCCTACTGCTGCTACCATAACATGAAACTTGCAGTTTTGTTTTTAAATGAAAGCTGAAGTTCCAGGAAACTGAATTCTTAACCCACAACCATGTTCTATGATCAGGGCCAGCTCACCCATGAGGCAAGGTAAGATGACTTTATCAGGCAGCAGGATCCACAGGGGCAGCAGATAGCAATGTAGATCTTTATCTCCCCCCCCCTTGTTCCTGATGTAGAACCTTACTTACCCCTTCTGCCCTTGCATGGAGAGGGTGACATTTTATGCTTTGTTTCAGGTGCCAAATTGTCTTGGGCAGGCCCTGTCTGATGAGCATTCCTTCTTTTACACTTCTATATGGAATTGTCTCCATATTCCTTACTGGGCCCATCTTACAGATAGCATTGATTTATTTTAATTTTGCTCCCTCCTCAAAAGCACCTATCACTTAATGATGCTTGCAGTCACTGACCTTTTGTCCTGGAAGACCGGGGTGACCTGTTTTCCCTTTGAAGCCCTAGAAGGAGAAAAGAAGAAATTAGAGTTTTCATTGAAGGTGCTGGAGCAGCATTGGCCAACCTGGTGCCTTCTAGATACTTTGGACTACAATTCCCATTGGCCCCTGCCAGCACTGGCTAGGGCTGATGGGAACTGTAGCCCAAAACATCTGGAGGGCACCATGTTGGCAAAGGGTGTGTTAGAGTAACTCTCATAGTTGCCGAGCAATTAAGCTCTAGGCCCGCAGCTGTGGATCCATCCCCCCTTTTTATAGTTGCCAATGGACCAGAACATAACACACACCCATCCCAGCTTGCTCTTGCACCTTTAACAACAACACCCTGACCTCCAGAAATTGGCCAGTGAAGCTTTGCACAGTATGTAGATAAATGGTACTGCCACCTGCTAATGCCTGCATTTCAAGCTGAAAGTACAGCAGCTGCAGATTACTTAAAGGGCATTGTCCTACTGCCCTTGTCAATACCAGCTTCTTTCAGTGGGAAAAGAGGCTGCCCTGAAGGGGAAAGCAGTGGGATTAAGGTTCCCTACTTTCCATAGGTCCAACATGGTCATAAGATGACCTGCAACTTACTGGAGGTCCCATCCTTCCTGGAGGTCCTGCAGGTCCTGGATCGCCCTAGAGAAAACAACAAGTTAGTACCACCAAAGGGCAGATGCTTGTGCAAATCTGGGGGTTTTACCGGGAGGCTTAACACTATCAGAAGCATAAAGTTCCTTACACATCATGCAAAGGAAGCAGCCGTCACTCCTCCAGCCCCACTAGAGGGGTTTAGACTGCTGTCCCAGATGCAGTCCTGGAGTCAAGCAGAATGCTATGCTTTTCATCTCTTTTTTGGTCTCACGGTGGTGAAGCCCCAAGCAATCAATGCCCAATGGGGTAAGGTCAGATCAGAGGCAGAGGTGAGCTCACCAATAATTCTGAGACACAATATAATTGATGGTGTGTGTGTGTTTTAAAGGCCAAAATAAGTTGTAGGTGAAGACGTTGCCACCATCTAGCGGGATTCGCATCCTTACCCGTAGCCCTGGCTTTCCGTCCTTCCCATCTAGTCCTTCCAAACCAGGTGGACCCTAGAAATAAACTCAGGTTATAGATGCATTCATTCCTTGCACTGTCATGTAGATAACCAAGATTACATGGCCAACAGTTTATATATTGCATTATAAGCATGCACATGGGCTTCACAGACATTGGCTCAGTTTCACTTCAGATGTTACACTGAATGGCGACTAAGGAAGCTTAACTGTGTTTTGGGGTAATGTTTGAGCTGACAATGCATAGTTTTCAAGCCAAGTGAGAAACAATGGGCTGAAACTAGCTTGTAAACTATGGTTTGTGGCAAATTTTGTTTGGTGCAATGCCAGAATCAACAAATCATAGTTACAGCTATCATTCCAGCTTCTGAGGCAGTTGCACCATGGATAGAGGAGTGAATTTATCAACCTACAAAGCTGAGGGTGGAAAATGAAAGCTGACAAGAAGCTCTAAACCATGGTTTGCTTGCTGAATATTGGCAGAACAAACTATGGCTTGGATTCTAATGGCTAGCACAAGCCATGGTTTATTGTGACGTCTGAACTGAGCTATTATTTAAGTGACCCAGTGATTACTACCATGTTAGGGCATATTGGTGTGCCATAAAAGGGTCTGAAGTGTCACGGGGAAAATTAAGTCTCCTTGTTAGAATCATCCATTACTCCATCCATCACAGGTGCATGTGAGCCAAGAAGCATCACAACTGCCCAGAAAAGCACACTCCAGTCATGAGCAGCAGAGAATCTTCAGAGAGTTTAAGAAAATTAAAGTGCAGGATGGGGTTGGCTTGCATCACCTAAATAACTACCATAACAGAGGCTTCATTGTGGAGCTGCGTCTTTTTCCCTTGCAGAGTACTTAGTATCATGGCTAATCTAGCCTAGTTGTCTCATATCCATGTTCAGGATCTGTAAACTGCTGAGCGACCAGCATACTTACTTGTATTCCAGGGGGTCCTGGAGGCCCTGGTGGGCCCGCCATGCCAGGAGAGCCACGCATCCCATCGCTACCCTGTAAAAACCCACACAACACCAAATGATGACATAGCTATGACTGCCGTGCATGGAGAAGAAACCAATATAGAGGCAAAAGGGAGCTGGGCGTGACAGATGCACTCGCGATTCCTTTGCCTTCCTCCTGTTAACTATCTTTTCCTTGGGGAATTCAAGGGGGTGGGGAGATAATTTGGATCGGGGGAGATTGAAAGAGCATGTGGAGACCACCTGGGCATGACAGCTGATACCTGGTGGGCATATGAAGCACAGCTGTCAGTGCTAAAGGCTTTCTGGTACTATCCCGATATTGTTAGACTCCAGCTCCCCTCAGCACAGCATGGTAGTTGCCATACAAACCATCTGGAGGGTGCTAGGTTGGCAAAGGCTGGTATATGGGGTGTATTGCAGCAAATGATTCACAGGTGTTCCCACAAATCGGGGCCAGAGGATTGCAGAAGTGCCCAGAAGCCAAGACCTGCTTGAGCTCACCTTGCCCCCCCCCCAGCAGCTGTGTCTTACCTGAACAAGAGGTTTCAGGCAGCCATTCTTTCTATACCAGTTTCAAGCTACACATTTCAGCCAATATCCACCTCCCTTAAACTCTAGAGGGCTTATTCACCTTTCCTCCACTCTCTCCAAGCAGTGTCCACACTTTAGAGATATGTGTTTGAGCGCCTTTGTTGTTTTTTTGCCTGGACCTTTCCCCACAAAAACCTGCTTTTTAGCACTCACTTGGCGCAAACAGCAATCCACAGAAAACCCAAATTGACGTTTGCTCCTATTGAGTGCTATAGAGTGGGTTATTGCAAGGAAAACTATTGGGCAAAACTCAAAAGCAAAACCCCACCTGTGCCTGGAAAAAGCGGGAAGGAACAGGTAAGTGAGCAAAAGGCTTACTCTCCAGTAACTGCTGGGATAGCTCAGTCAGTAGAGCACGAGACTCTTAATCTCAGGTGGATCCGAGCCCCACGTTGAGCAAAAGATTCCTGCATTGCCGAGGGTTAGAACAGATGACCCTTGTGGTCCCTTCCAGTTCTAACCCTACAATTCTATGACTCCAAGACTTGAATCATTGATTCAATTTTTCCCCAGGTGCTATCCTAGCAATGAGCTGCAGGTGTCAGCAGAGGCCAGGAAGCAGGGGTGATCTGCTCCTTTTGACTACACTTCTCTCCCCTCCCAGCCCCATCTCTTTCCCTGGGCAACTCAACAGCTATTTTCTCCTTAGAGTTATCATTGGTGCTGCTAGAGAGCTTTCCTGAAAGATGTAGCACAAATGACCCCTTCTTCCCGGATAGTGTTTTGTCAACAAACATGGGTAGAGGGTAAGGTTTGAAGACAATTCTCATTGGAACGACTCTGTGACTTGCCCACAGCGACTGACTGAGAAAAGCAACTAAATCTGCCCCTTCCTGGTTCAGCAGGTCACCCTCTAACCACAAAGGCTGTCTTGTCATATGAAGGAACATCACACTCTCAGGTAGTGATGGATGACGACCTCTCGGCTCACCCCAATTTCTACTTGCTTTCAGTGATTTCTCCTACTGTCCAGTGGGGGGAAATAAAACTAAAGCATTTTCCAATGCTTGCGAGGAAAGGTTATAAATAGTGAATGGATGAGCTGAATCGCTTTCTTAGCCCTCCTGCAATTTGCCCCATCCCTATGAGCCCCCAGATTCCCTCTGCTCTCCTTCCCTTCTCCTACATTTGTCTGGGAGTGAAGGAATGCAGAAAACGTCTCCATTTCTCCCTCCCACTATTGGGACTCCTAAAACGTTGCAACTACACTGTCCCTGGATACAGCAAACATTGGAGGTACAGTTCTCCAGGGATGCCTGGAGGGCAATGTTTCCCAAAAGCTGCCTTCCATGTGGGAGGCTGGTGTTGGCAATGCTCTAACTGGAGGGGAGGGAAGCAGAGAGAAAGACCTTTCTCTTGCCGCTGCTTTCCCCATTCTTGCTACAAGGTGAGTCTTTAAGGTGAGAAGGGAAAGAAGCAGCAGGGAAGGGAAGGGAAGGAGGTTGGTCAGAAAGGGGGACACAGATGCCTATCAGCAATGGGCAGGGGACACGGGTGAAGCACTGATACTGGCTAGTCCTTCCCCATTCCCTGCCATTAACAGGAAAAGTGAGACTCATTCCTTCCATCCTTTCAATATTATGTATGACGAAACCCTTTTAATTCCTGGATCTGGCAGGGATTCAATTCCTGGAATAACCAGGCTAAGTATGGAACGTTAAGGTAACAAAGGAAGCGGCTGGCAGTTAGAAAGACAAATGCCAGAGTTAAGAGTTATGTGAGCTAAAGGCTAGAAACAGGAAGCAGCAGGCTGGGAAGACAGAGAGTCAGAATCATGCCTGATTTTTGCTTGAATCCAAGGCTGCAGCTGTGGGAGAAGAAAGACCCTACTTGTGGCGTTGATGCTGTGAACCCCTCTATTATAGACTTAGGTTGTAAATAAACCATTTATCATAAAGACACCACAGACTCCACTGTGCTGCATTCCCAAAAGGAAACACAGCTCCTAGGTGAGTGCCTGGTACCCCTGGAATCCCGCACCACTCAGAGACTGGGGTGGTGTGCAGCCATGTTTTACATGTTTAGGGAAGTTTTTTTTAATGTTTGATTCTATTTTTAATATTTTGCTGGGAGCCACCCAGAGTGGCTTGGGAAACCCAGCTAGATGGGCGGGGTATGAATGAATGAATGAATGAATGAATTATTATTATTATTATTACTACTACTATTATTGCTATTATTTCCCCTACTCACCTTCTCTGCTGGAGGCCCTGGAGGTCCAGGTGGTCCTGCTTTCCCTGGGAAGCCTGGCGGCCCCTAATAAGCAAAAAGCATCAGATAGTTTTGAGAAGCCTTTTGGCTTTAGAGTCTATAAACAAGCTTCATTTGAGAGGAAAGCTGCAGTCAGGCCAAAGTGGCTGCTTTGTGCTAAACAGGAAAAAATTAAAATTCTATACTAAAAAGAGCTAAATTCTGCAGCATGTATAAATTATCCAGATTAAGCAAATTTGCATAATTTCCATTTCATTGCATAATTTATAATGAGGAAGAGGCCAAGGTGCTGGAGCTGCCTCTCGCCCCTCCCGCCTGCTCAAAATCTTATCCGACCACCCTTTTGGCTTCTGAGATTTCAACAGGCATTGCTCATGTGCATTTTTTGCAACCGTAAGCACTAGAAATATGCTTTTAAGAATATATAAACTGAGATTCTCAGGAAGCTGAATTCCGGCGCCACGTTCCAGGGTTTCTTCTGCACTTATGCTAAATTGGCAGCACACGCAGACCGCCCTGCCTTTTGCTTGATAGTTTGCTTCTGAAAAGGAGCCGACACCTCCACTATGCTTAAAGCTTCCAAATGTTAAGATTCCTGATATAGCCCTTCAATTCCTCTTTTACAAAAAGGGGCAGAGAAAGCAGTTTTTGGATAGTTTTCACACACCATTTGAAATGTTTCTGATCTCTATGGTGACCCTCTGCCAGCCACCGCCTGTAAGCTTCTCTCATCTGCTCCTGAAAACCCATCATCCCAGCAAAATCCCTCTGTAATAATCAGACAAAAGGCTGGTTTCGCTTTTGTTTTTCTTACATCTTGATTGCCTTCTTGAAACAGGACTAAAGATCCTTCCCCTTAATTGGATTTATTTCAGGATTCTGCTCTGTTAAAGATAACCACAAACTCCCATCCAAATCCCCAGGGAGGAAGGGGGGGAGGGCTGTGGGTCTCCTGCTTTTTCACGGTGCTGTTCCAGCACACCCAGTGCTCCAGAATCTAAAAACTCCTTTGAGATGTGCAATACTTACAGGTGGTCCTGGGAAACCAGGTTGACCTTGAAATCCCTGGGAAGAAAGGAAATGCTGATCAGTCACAAGTAAAGCCACAGCAGAGTGGACCAAATAGGTACTTGAGTAGAGTCACATTTTTTTGCAGGGAAACCTCTGGGGCTGAAGGCCGTGCTGTAGCCTAGGGGGGCATCAGAAGCAGGGGTGAGGAGCCCCCAGCCCTCTATGTCCAACCTTCGGTACTCTTCCTAAGCCAAGCCCATAATAGCATCTGCTCCTGGCTGCAATGCATGTCCTTCAGCTGCAACGCCTTTTGCTAAACCTCTGGGGGTTTTTGTGTACAAATATCAGGGCTTTCTGCCCTGGCCTTGCCCACCACTGTCACACAGCTGCCAGAAGGTTGCCCAAGAATGTGGCCTTCAGAAGGAAAAAAGATTGGTTACCCCTGATCTAAATACCAAAAGGGGTATCTGAAGCTAAGGAAGGTAGGGTAAGACCTGGGAAGTACCCTGATTTAAAATGCCTCAGGGAGAGACCTTCCTTGGCAGATACTTTGGAAGGACGGCTTATGTGTCAAAACACTTAAAGGGAGCCGAGTGTCATCTTCCCCAACTGCATCCATTTACGAGGTATGGAAGTCATTTTACTCTGCAAAGACCAAAACTCTGAACGGACTGGTTCAAATCCTCACCACTCAGGCACGAAAAATGAATTTGGCCCAGTCTCAGCCTAGTCTACCTCACAGGGTTGATGCAAATGATTTCCTAAACCAGGGAATGCCAAGGTATGGTTGCCCTAAGCGCCTTATAAAAAGAGATCAGTCTGCAGAAGTGGTAATTATACAATTTGCGACTAATTTTGGAGTTGACATTCCAACTATGGTTACTCACTGTGCTGTTTGGTGTAGTTTTTGCCTAGCCTATAGAAGTTGGGGCAGAGGAAGGAGATGCAGAGAAATAATGAAGGCTTTTAAAAAAGCCTCTTTTGTTCTATTCGGGTTGGTTGTTGTTGTTGTTTTTAATCTGCTGCGTTTGCTCCTTGTCATTATGCTGTATTTTACTTATGTCATTTTAATGGTGTTAGCTGCCTTGGCCATTTTTATGGAAAGTCTGGAAGCATGTTTAATATAAATAAATAATACATAAGCAAATAAATATTAATGTTAGGCAGCTCTTTTTCATTCCCCATACAAGTGGTGGTGGGGAGAGGGGATGGCATAGATGGTCCCCTCCCTCTGGCTTTAAACCCGCTTCACCTTGACACGCCAGCTAATCTGGGATGGATGAAAACCCCTTCCAAGGCATCCACCACCATGTCATTATTTTTTTCTGAGCCAAGGCAGGTAACAGGGCAGAAAGGATGAACAGCGGGATATTGTCTCTCTCCCAGCAGGAGTTTGGCTGGCAAAGAAACAGCAAACAAGCCAGGTGATCAATTACCCCCCAAGAAGAAACAGGATTTCAAGCTTTAACAGACACATCGGTTGGAAATCCCGGATTGGGGAAACTCTACATAGCAGAAGGGAGTGTTTAAGCCAGCACAGCACTGTCTGGTAGCAGTTTGACATGCTTTGTGCTTACCTGCCTCACAATGCAAGGAGGAAAATTCTTTTGCAGCTACTCCAGTGTTTCCCAACCGGTGTTCCGCGGCACACTACTGTGCCGCGAGACGTTGCCTGGTGTGCCGTGGGAGGGAGGCGGGCGAGTCGCACGGCGTCTCGGCGTCGGGCGGCAGCGAGCCCAGGAAGCGGCCCAGCCGGCCGGGGTCGCCCGCCTGCAGCAGCGCCTCGCACCCGCACGAGACCTGCTCCGCCGAGAAGCGGGCGAGCGCGGAGGATCGGGCGCGGCGGAGGCCAGCCCCGCGCTTGGAGAGGACGCAGCAGCCGTCGCCAAACCCGATCCTCCTCCTCCTGCTCCGCCGCCGTCCTCTGGCTCTCGGCCGGGAGGAGCCTGCGGCGACGGGGCGGGCGCCGAAGTTGGCAGAAGTTGGCGCGCCTCCTCGGCAGCGCCTTCGTCCTCCTCCTCCTGCCTCTGCTCTCCTCCGGCGGCGGGGGCGCGCCGCCCTCCCCGGCCGGGGGGCTCGGCGGGGCCCGCGGGGAAGGAGGCCATGTTCGCGGCGCGCGGGATCGCGGCCCCCCTCGCCGCCTCCGGCCCGCTCCCTCCCCCTGCGCGCTGCCCTAGCCATGCGGGTCTCCTCCCCCTGCGCCGCCGTCCCCTTTCCACATCCTAGGAGCCGCGGTCCGCCTACCGCCCCCAGGCCGCGGCGCGGCTCCCAGCCCGGGCTGGCCTCCGCCTCCTGGGACGCGCGCCCACCCCCGCGGCCCCCCAAACTTCGGAGCAACTCTCCAGACGCTTCTCCCCCGCCTCGGTCTCCCTCCTTTCCACTTCTCTTCCCCCTTCCTTCCCTCTTTCTTTCTCTTTCTCTCCCACCCGCCTTTCCTTCTATTAACTTTCCTTTCCCCTCCCTTCGTCCTTCCTACTTTTACTCCTGGGCTCCTCCCCCTTTGCGCAGCCACAAATCAATCTCTCTCTCTTTTCCCCCCTCTCTCTCTTCTTTGCTCAGACGCAAAAAAGCGCTGCTTTTTGGAAATCCGGACTGCTGTCCCCGCTGAAACGATACTTTAAAAAAGGAAGAACCCACTGGCTCTTATTTCTGTTTAAAGCAGTAGATCCCGAACTCTTTTGGCCCACTGCCCCCTTGGTTCCACATCCCCCAGTGTCCCCTATGCTTACTCTATAGAAAGCATTACAGGGGTTAACGCGGCTCGCTAAGGAAGATATTAATAGAATTCTGCATTTGGGGGAGACCCTAACAGTCATCTACCATTACCTTCTATGCTGTTACTATTTTTTTATTTTTTTTTTACATAAGTAAAAAGTGACCTTTCCCCATCTGGCATGGTGGTGTGCCTCGAGATTTTTTCATGACAACAAGTGTGCCTTTGCCCAAAAAAGGTTGGGAAACACTGAGCTACTCTAAGTACTTTCAAACTAAGCATGCAAAGTGTGGAATTGCTTGTTTGTTCACTTGCTTTTTAAAATAGGATATCCACACAATGCTGTCATCCATTAATGATCATTTTGTATTTTCCCAGGTGTGGGTGTGTCCATTTCTTCCCAGATTGCATTAAGTCTGTTTTTGCCGCCACCCCCACCCCAGCAGAGAGTGGAAGAGTAGCACAACCTCTAGAGGGATGGTGGAATCTGTGGCTCTGCAGATGCTATTGGACTCCAACAGAAGGTCTTAAGCTGTTTAGCAAAAAGGCTTTAGGGAGGAAAGAATGGCTCTCCCTGGGTAAGTTTCTCCATCTTTTACAGCAGTGTCACCTAAATGTCTGAAAAGGGAAGCATACCCTTTTAAAATATTAAAAAATGGAAGACACACACCACTCTTACAAACTGACTGTTTTATACCGTGTAAAATGTGTGTAACAGGTAGATTGGCCTGTGCTCAGAGCCACCTCCCTTGTACCTGTATGAATCACTGATCTGGCCATGAGAATGAGGCAAGCCCCAAACAGGTATTCATGAAGAGATGCAACAGGCAGCCTCCTCTGGGCATGGGTAATTCTGCTGCCTCTCTGCATGAGGCATGAGTGAGGGATCTAATCAGACCCAAAATCAGAGACTCAGCAAAATTACCTGTCCCTAGGAGGAGGCTGACTGGAAGGAGGCAAGGTCAGAACACTGAATTGTACCAAGAGGCAGCATGGAGCTTCCTCTGTGGGCTCGCAATCCACACACCTCATAGAAACTAAGCCAACATGACATAAACACCACCATAACTGCAGACAGATTGAATTTGTGGCAAACTTGAAGAGAAGCAAGGAGGGCCTGGTTATGATACAGAGTCAGGCCTGCATTGCTGCCTTCTCTCCAGCTAAGCTAGAAGCAAAAACTATATGCCAAGGCATTATTGACAAGAAAAGGAAGGCCTTTTAGATCTGGCAAAGAGAAATAAACTGTGCCACCAAGAAAAAACGTATGTCAACGCTAAGGCTGAGGTTCAAAGAAAAACCAGAGAACTAAAGAACACCTGGTGGATTAAAAAAAAAACAACCCTCAAGATCCAGCACTTAGCCTATACTCATGATGCATAGTGTCTTCTTTAGAGCCACAAAGACCATCTATGGGCCAATAAATTATGGTATAAGCTCCCTACACCCAACAGACGGTACCACACTTCTAAAAGATAAAGAAGCTATTGCGTTGTGTTGGAAAGAACGTTACCAGCATCTCCTTAACCGCAACTCCCCTGCAGCTGCCGAAGTCCTTTCACAAATCCCGCAAAAACAAATTAGAAATGAGGTTGCGGTATCTCCAAATCTGGGAGAGTTGTGTACATAGCTGTCAACGTTTCCCTTTTTAAAGGGAAATTCCCTTATTCCGAATAGGATTCCTCACAAGAAAAGGGAAAAAGTTGACAGCTATGGTTGTGTACAGCTATTAACCAAATGAAAAACAGCAAAGTTGGAGTCTTCAAAGTAGGCGGAATTGAACTTACAATCTTTTTAAAAAAACATGATAGAACCGATGGCAGAAATTATCGAGGCATCTCTTTATTTGCCATGGCCAGCAAAATTCTTGCAAGGATCTTAGCAAACCGTCTCCTAACTATATCTGAGGACACCCTTTCTGAATCCCAAATTGGTTTTAGATCTTCTAGGGGGACAGTGGATATGATTTTCACTGCTCAACAGCTTCAAGAAAAATGCAGAGAGCAAAATCAAC